CCCCCCCGCCCCGCCCCCGACGTCGCTTTCCGAGGTGCTGAGTTGCTGGCCAGGTTTCCTCCTCCTCCTCCTCCTCCTCCTCCTCAACTCCCTGGGGTCTCCTTCAAGATGGGCACCTCCTTTATCTTGCGGGGAGGGTGGGGGGACACCTTGAATGAGGCTCCTTTGGGATGCTCCGGGCAGCCCCTTTCTTGGGTCACTCCTGGTGACAACCCACCCCCCACCCGTTTGGGCAGGGAAGTCACTTCTCCTGATGTGGTTGGACTACAAATCCTAAGAGGCACAGCCAGGATGGGGAAGGTTGGCCTCCACACTCTCCCAAGGGACTCCCCTGCCAAGTCTACAAATTAACTTTGGCCGCTCTAAAGATGTGTGGACTTCGACTCCCAGAATTCTATGCCGGCTGGGGAATTCTGGGAGTTGAAGTCATTTTTTTTAAGGGCCGTTGTAACTCTGAATGGCCACTAAATGAATCGTTGTAAGACCGGGGCTACTTCTGCAGTATTTATTTAGACTGTTTGCAAGACAGGAAGGCCACCCCATAGCGCAAGTCAAACCCCTCAAGGAAAGCAGAATGTCTGTGGTTTCCCATGCCGTTTACGTATAGGATGTTTGCAAGCACCCACGAAGGCACTTGTTACACACGTGACCAAACCATGTATGACAAAGGCGTGTTATTTTTAGGCAGAAGGAGAGGACATACCTTGCTTGGCAGTCACTTGAGGAGAGCAATGCATTAAATAATTCAGCCTAGCATGCAAAAGTCATCTCTGGAACATTTTGGCTCAGTGGCCCGATTTATGAAAACATCAGGACGTGTGCAAACTGACACCCATTCTCCCATCTTTGTGGACAGAAGGAAGTTCTAAGGGTCGATCAAATATATTTTTAAACTTTGTACGTGCTTCTTAATGAAACAATCGTGAGCTTTGAAACGCAGAGAGTTGACTTCCTCAACCAGAATTGGCAACCGAGACCCATGATCTAGGGTAGAGATCGTTTCTCCACTTCAGGAACTTGAAGAGGTGTGGGATTCAACTCCCAGAATTCCCCAGCTACCAATACTGGCTGGGGAATTCTGGGAGTTGAAGTCCACACCTCTTCAAGTTGCCATGATTGGGAAAGACTGAGTTAGACCATGAAAGCTTATTTTTTTCAGAAACTAAATTTATAGCAAAAACTATGTTTCCTTCATATCTCTCACACTCTCTCTCTCTCTCTCTCTCTCCCCCTTTCAGAAAAATATTCTTGTCTAAAAAAGGTGCAGTTAATGTGTTCAGATTTAATTAAAAGCACAATAAAAGAAGAGTTTTACACTCCCTTTAAAGACAAATATCAAACTAAGGGAAGGAATGGAATACTTTGCCGTTAATTTGATGGCCCATTCAAAAGCAGGTAACCAATGGAAGGTTATTGGAACATAGGAAAGCATCCCGTTGAAAGGGGCCAGGGGTGAACGAAGATTTGGGAGGGTCTCCTATTTTTACTCTGATTGGCCAATGTATTTAAAGGCGGCACTGTTTTTAATGAAGTGTCACTTGATATGTTTTTTCTTTCCACTTGAAACTTAAACAAGCCAGTTGAAACTATTTTGATGGGTTTTACTGGTTTGCAAGCCAGTTTGGTGTGGTGGGTCTTCTCACGATTTCTTTAAAAAAGGATCTAAAACCCCATGCTAAAATAATTAAAATTTAGTCACAGGCATGATGGAAACAGTAAAGTTTTGGTTTCTGAATATTAAGCTTCGGGGAAAACACAGGTCTTCACCCGACGTTTAGAGAGAAATTGCAGGACGCTGTTGCCCTGCAGGGCGCCTGCATTTATAGCCCGGCTGAAATCCATTAATATTTATATTTCTTTGCTTTTGTTTTCTTAAGAGAGGTGTTCTCCATACAACTGCAAGAAATGAAAAATGGGTCACGTCTCTAAGTAAGGATCAGCCGATGTTAAATTACAGTCCAGTTATCTGAATTGGGATAAAAGCTTTTGGTGTCATCCGATGGCTAATTATCTCTGACTCACAGCTCACTTTACTGGGCTGTACAAACAAAACACGCCATCAAATTTGCTCAAATTTCCATTCAAAAAGGGAGCTGCATTACTACTGCAGGCAAACCGAGTCAAAATATCCCAGACATCGGGGTCTCCAAGGTTGCAAAGTTCAAAGTCTTCCTGACCTTGAAGTCCTCGGATTGGAATTGTCATTGCTAAGAAAAGCGATTGTTTAATGAGGTGTGCCCATTTTTTCTGACATTTTTGGCCACGGTTATCAAGCAAATAACTGCAGGCGTTAAGTGAGTCATACAGTCATTAAGCGAAGCCACTGGGAAGGTGACAAATGGTGGTCCCATGAGTCCAGAAGGCTACAACCGTTATAACTGTATATGCCAGTTGCCAAGCACACACATTTCAATCGGGTGGCCATGGGAAATGCTGTGATGGTTTGTAAGGGCAAGGACCTGTTGCAAGTCACTATTTTCACTGTCATTGCAACTTTGGCCACTAAATGAATGGCTGGAAGTCAAGGACTGCCTGTAATTGGAAGATACAAGGATGGGACTTAAAGGAAGCAGGGAAGATGATGGTCCATTGCAGCCACCCCAACTGTTCTTCCCCTGAAGCTTATTTTTTGATCCCAGGATTGGCTCGCGGTCTACTAAGCTCAGATTCAGCTGCTCAGCTTCAGAACAAAGAATTGGGGTGACTGTCCTTCAGTTAAACAGCAAAAATCTTGCTGCAGCCTCAGAGGTTTAGCAGAACATTAAGAAATCCCCACAAACACACGACACTTTGTCCATGTTTACGATGAACAAACTCAGAGGAATCTAACTTAGTGCATCTTCTCTTCCTTAAAATCTACGCATTTTTCTTGCTTTTAGCACTCTTTCCAGTGGTGGTTAGTTGCTATTTATGGTCTCCCGTGAAAATATTCATTTTGCACGCGTAGTTCTTGCTGATGGCTTAGCAATGTTAGAGGAAGCTTTGTTGTACAGCTTGTAGTAACTTCTTGTTTGTAAACATTGGTCATTTCCTACTGACTTACATTGGTAGCAGGGGCTACCAATGCAGGGACTTATTTTGGAATAAACTAAGATCACATCATGACCGGCTGTAAGCTGAGGGAATATACCAGTCCAGTATCTGATTTTTCTTCCAATAAACAATTCTGCATTTGGATGGTTAGCTGGCCGAACATTGGTATTCGAACATCGATCTTTTTAGCATTTATGTTTTGTGTTTTGCTAATCTGGATGAGATGTTAATATATATTGCTAGCCCATGTATGATATGCCACACGCGGAAATAAAGAAAGAAGTAAAATTCAAGGCGGCTGTGTTTTCTATTACAGCAAAAAAAATAAAATTAAAAAAATAAATCTACCAGCTAGTTTTGATGCAGCCACACACTTTTCTTAGCTGGTTAAACAAATCTGGCTTTTAATTGCTCATTGCTTATTCAAAGGATTTGAAATTATGAGCCGTTCTAATACCTAGAAATAATTATCTTAGGGCTAGCAGCTGAATTTTTTAAAAAGATTTAAAAACTCTGTTTCTTCCATATATATATCTCTGTGTGTAGACGTATACATATTTGTACACACACACACACACACACATATTTTTGCAAGTGTACCAAAAAGGCAACCACAGAGGCTGCCCGAGAGCAACTGTTACAGGAGGGCGAAATGGCTCATGCAATAACAACGATCATCTCATTATTAAGTGATGCTTCAGAATACGAAAAGGAAAAAAAGGCTTCGAGTGTTTTCCTAAGGGAATACCAGAGCAATTAGGAAGAAAACAGCTGCCTTCTGCACAAATTTCCTGCTTTTCTCGCTTGCAAATGGGAGATTTTCCAGAGTTTCTTTCAAGGGGATGTAAAATTAGACCCTGGACTTGCAACGGTGAGAGGAGAAACCAAAATCTTAGGGAGCACCCAAGTGATTAAGGAAATATAAACCCCTCCAGGAACAGAAAACGCAGGCCTTAAAGCAGGGGACTCCAACCTTGACAACTTTTTAAGACTTGTGGACTTCAATTCCCAGAGTTCCTCAGCCAGGAAAACAAGTTGTCAAGGTTGGAGACCCCCCTGCCTTAAAGCATGTTTCTCAACCGTGGCGACTTTACCTGGCTGGGGAATTCTGGGAGTTGAAGTCCACCCATCTTAAAAGTTGGCAGGATTGAAAAATACTGCCCTGCCCTGTGTTGGTAAGCTGGCCCAAACTCTCAAAAACACCCATCCTTTTCTCCTTGGTTTTTAATTGTACATTTGTGATTCTCGATGTCAAGTTCTGCTTCCGTATTATTTCCATATTTCTGGTGAGACTGTTTATTGGGGTGCATATTCCCCGAAAGCTGCCCGCTGATGAACAGCATCTCTCAGCGGAAACTTCCACTGCCAATCCTGTTCCTGCCCCTTCAAAATAGGGGCCCTGAAGTTTTGGGGAGCCCCACCACCTTAACGGGGCACCTCAGATATATGCCACAGAGAGGAGAGAGGTGCCAAGTCTCTCCTTGGCTGAGAGAGCTCCTGCCACGTGTGATGGATGCATCCTCCTTCTAGGCTTGTTCAAGTTCTACCAGCACCCCGTCGCAGTCTTTGGGGTGCAGGAAAACCACCGGCTTTCCATGAGCACCGATTTGGGGTTCGTCGCTCAGAACACGGATCTTTTTCCTCTTCAGCTCTTCGATGGCGCTGGTGATATCGTCCACCTGACAAAACAAAGAGAGATCCGTTTGCGAAGAATTATTGGTGAGAAAGAGAGGGGTGCCTTCTTAAAACGAGAAAACTTCCGGGCCCCCAGATGTCCCTCAAATAGAAATGGCCAACGCGCAGGGCTATTGGGGGAAAAGGCTTGGATGGGTACTTCCGTGCTATCTGGAACCCTGCACCCCACTTTCCCTCCCCTCTCTGCCTTAAAAAGGTGAAGGTTCCCTTGCACGTCCATGTGACGCGTTTCCAGCTCTAGGGGGCGCTGCTCATCTCCGTTGCAAAGCCGAAGAAGAGCCAGCGCCGTCCGAAGACGTCTCCGTGGTCAAGTGGGTGGCCGGCAGGGCTAAACGCCTTCGAAGGCGCACAGGACACCGTTCCCTTCCCACCCAAATGGCTCCTATTTTTCGACTTGCATTTTGTTACGCGCTTTCGAACGGGTCGCTTGGCAGAAGCTGGGACAAGGAACGGGAGCTCACTCCGTTACGCGGCTATGCTAGGGATTCGAACCGCCAACCTTTCTGATCGACAAGCTCAGCGTCTTAGCCACTGAGCCACCGCATCCCTCCTCTCTGCCTTAGAAACAAAGAAACACAACGTCGATTTGTAGGAATCTCAAGCTCCCTGATCCCTTTCTTTAAGCACCTCCAGGTAATCCTTGACTTGTGACCACATTTCTCTTGCTAAGGGAGGCAGTCGTTGAGCTTTGCCCCGTTCTGCGGCCTTTTCTTGCCCCCGTTACGAAATGAATCCCTGCGCTTGTTAATCACAGGGTTCTTCAGTGAACCTGGCTTCCCCATTGACTCCAATTGCCTGAAGGTGGCAAAAGGGACACTGCAAACGTCCATCGCTGCAAGAGTCCCCCGCCAAGCGGCTGAATTTTGATCACGTGACTGTGGGGATACTGCAACGGTCGCAAGTGTGAAAAACGGTCCTAAGCGGCGAGCTGTTGTAATTCAAGGACTACCCGCATTTCTAAAGCAGTTTTTGCTCAGAATCATCTCTTCGGTTCGAAACAAAACCCCCAGGAAATACCTCCAGGCAGATGTGATGGATTCCGCCGGCCTTGTTTTTCTGCAGGAAACCCGCAATGGGGCTTTTTTCTCCCAGGGGGTGCAGAAGCTCCAGTTTCGTGTTCCCCAGCTCCACGAAGACCGTGTAGACCCCGTGGTCGGGCAGGGGGAGGACCTTACTCACTCGGGCTTGTAACACATCCCTATACAGGGCGGTGGCTTTTTCCAGGTCAGGCACAGCGATGGCCACGTGATTAAGCTGCCCCAACTTCCACAAAGGTTGGGGAATTGCCTGGTCCGAGGACCATCTGACCGTTGGAGATCTCCAGTGGAGGCGAGTGAAAAGGCCTGGAACAAAGAGGAAAACCACGTCTCCAATGTCAGCAGCCCTCTCCACCCCACCCCCCAAATATGTAGGGTAAACGTTGGAAGGCCTGTGTGCTACGATTCTCCACCTTTGCGGGGTGACCAGGGGGAGCCCTGCAGGTGTGAAGGACGGTAAGGCCTCGAAGGAAGAACGTGGCCTTCAGATAACCAGCATCCCGGATATGAATATTGAATACAGATATTGAATACAGCTCAGCTGTCTAGAATCCACTCTGGATATCGGACATTAATACAACTGAGCGTGTCCAGAAGTATTTCACAAGAAGAGTAGTATACACCACCAGGCTTGAGATGTTGGTCTTGGATAACCTAGAACTACATCGCCTACAGTTTGACTTAAGCATAGTTTATAAAATAATCTGCTTCAATGTACTACCAATCAATGACTTTTTCACTTTCGACTGCAACAACACAAGAGCACATAATAGATATAAACTCAACGTACACCGCTTCAAACTTGATTGCAGGAAGTATGACTCCAGCAACAGAGAGGTCAATGCCCGGAACACGCTACCTGACTCTTGCCATCCGCCAACCCCCCACTCCGTTTCCCTCAAACTAACCACTATTGACCTCACCCCTTCCTAAGAGGCATGTGAGAGGTGTGCATAAGCGCACAATCGTGCCTACCGTCCCTGTCCTATTGTCCCCAATTATTCGTACCCATTTCCTGCATTTATACTTATGTTTATGATCTTGTAAGTTATTGACAAATAAATGAAATAAAGTAAATAAAGTATGGAGAAGGAAGATAACTGCAAGATAATCGTATTTTCCTGATGTGTTCCGCCATCTTTGTTTTTTTTCCCGGTCTGAAAATTAAGGCGTTGAATTGCACTCTAGAATAGCATCTTTCTCAATTTTTGCAACCTTAAAAGAGTTCTGGGAGTTGAAGTCCACCCTTCTTAACGTTGCCATGGTTGAAACAACCCTGTTCAATTCTTGGGTTGAAATGTCAGCTCAGAAGACAGCCTAGTGTAGACCTAACAAATATAGACCCCCTCAATATTTTGTTTTCAGGGCATGATCTCCAGTGCATGATCTTGGTCAGCAAAGTGATTTTTTGTTACCCTCCAGGAAAAAAGTGCTGAGGTTCCATTTTGCCCTTTGGAAGCCTCGCTTTTCCATTTCCCTGGGGCAGAAAACCCGCGTGGGGTTTTCCTTAAGAGCTCTGCCTCTACAACCTTTTCCTTTTCTCCACCCCCCTCACCAGCTACCGTCTTGAAAAGCATTATTCATATATTATTAATTAACCTTCTGGAGCCCACGTTACTTTCCTTATTAGGCCCGACGTGTTTATTATTTAAAATATTCCCGTAACATTTTTGTTTTTATTTTGAAAACCCCAGAGTGCTGTACAAGTGCAAATAATTCTTCTTTTATGTACACTGAGTGCATTTGCACCAAGACAAATTCCTTGTGTGGCCAACCACACTTGGCCAATAAAGAATTCTGTTCTGTTCTATTCTATTCCATATTTCTATTCTATTCTATTCTATTCTATTCTATTCTATTCTATTCTATTCTATTCTATTCTATTCTATTCTATTCCATTCCATTCCATTCCATTCTATTCCATTCCATATTTGTATTCTATTCTATTCTATTCTATTCTATTCTATTCTATTCTATTCTATTCTATTCTATTCTATTCTATTCTATTCTATTCTATTCTAATCTAATCTAATCTAACTATTCCTATTCTATTCCTATTCTGTTCCCATTCTCTTCTCTATTCTCTTCTCTCTTCTAATTTATCTGGGGTGGTTCCCCCCGCCCTCATTTTCTTTTAGGAAGGATGTGAGGGTGTTTGATGGAGAAAGGTCAGTTAGACAGTGCAGTCCTACATTGTTTCCCCCAAAATATAACCTACCCAGAAAGTAAGTCCTAGCTTGATTTTTACATGTGTGCCCAATATAAGCCCTACCCCCAAAATAAGCCCTAATTAGATCCTTCCCACTCCAGGGTGCACAGGTAAAACTTAAGCCAGGGTGGGGATGGTGGGTGGTGGAGCTGCCTTACTACTTACCTTTGGACAGTTGTAGTCAGGCCTCGCACACCCTGACATCTGCCTTGCCGATCCATTTCTTTTGCAGCTGGCAAGGCTGGCAAGGCTTTCCTGAAGGCCTCTGTAACTGATAACAAAGTTCTGGATCGATCCAGAGCTCTGTTATCAGCTGCAGAGGCCTTCAGGAAAGCCTTGCTGGCCACAGAAGAAGTAATTCCTGAAGGCCTCTGACAGCAAAAAGGAGGCTGGGTTGACGCGTGCAAGTCATCCCCCGAAAATAAGACCCGGTGCCTTTTTTGGTGGCAAAATATATGGTATGTTGTGAGTTAATTTTGTGAGTTTGCTTGCTAGCAAATTTTATGGGTTGGCTTGCAAGCAAATTTTACGTGACAGACCCAGGTAGCCGATGACAGAAACACAGATCTCTAAGTGAATCTGTGATTCTGTGAGCAACTCAATCTGCCTGCCTGCTTTGCCTGACTTTGGGTAAAAGTTGCTCTTTTTTAAATACAAAATTCAATACTTTCATAAATATTTATAATATTTACATACAAGCCATGTCCAGCCAGTCATATGACCACCAGGCTACACCCACAAATTAAGTCACGCCTACAGAACAGGTTGTTAAGACATATGAATTCATGTTAGTGGTCCCCAGGATTTAAAATTATGTTTGGTGATCCCTGAGGTCCAAAAGTTTAGCGACCCCTGCCCTATACAACGTTTATAGTTTCACAGGAGGAATCTTTTAGCATTTCTCTCCCCAGCTGTTAAGCACACTGCAAAATGCCTGATGTTTCACATTCACAAATGTGTTAAAATGTGCAAATATGAATAAGTAAATCCATTTTCCTACCCCACATTAAGGCTGGGGTAGCTACCACATCCCTGGTTGCAGAAGCAGCTGGTTCCCACTGACGTCTTCAGATGGACATGAAAGAAATCGGCGCTTCCATTGTTCTCACTTTGAACTAGTTGCCAACTTAGCTATAGGCAGGATTGAGGGGCGAGTGACTTGCCCTGCAGGGACGTAGGGGAGGAAAACTACAGACGTGCTTGTTGGAGCTGCCACAACTCATAGACAAATGTGACAAGCAGTTTATTGTTGGCTGGATTGTTGGAAAGATTGCTGCAACAAAATAATTATGCAATGCAATAAAAATTCAGTCTTGGATGCATCCTACTGTCCTAAATGTTAGATATTATTATGATGGTTGGTTGCACAGTCAGCCAGATGTTTAGGCTGAATTTGGCATTTTATCCACCTATTGAGTCTTTCCCAAGGACTTGGGAGGCAGATGTTCTTATTTGACGATGTTAAAAGTACCATCATAGCAGTTTTGCCTTTTGCAATTAACAGATAATGAATAACAGATAATCAGAGTTGGAAGGGACCTTGTAGGTCATCCAGTCCAACCCCTCACCCAAGCGGGAGACCCTACACCATTTCTGACAAATGGAAGTCCAATCTCTTCTTGAAGGTCTCAACTGATGGCGCTCCCACAACTTCCAAGGGCAACTTCTGTTCCATGGGTTGATTGTTCTCCCTGTCAGAAACCTTCTCCTTATTTCCAGGTTGAATATCTCCTTGTTCAGTTTCCATCCATTATTCCTTGTCTGGCCTACAGGCGCTTTAGAAAATAGCTTGACCCCTTCTCCTCCCTGTGGCAGCCCCTCAAATATTGGAAGGCCACTATCATGTCTCCCCTGGTCCTTCTCTTTAGTAGACTAGCCAAGCCCAGTTCCTGCAACCGTTCGTTGTATGTTTTAGCCTCCAGTCCCTTAATCATCCTGGTTGCTCTTCTCTGCACTTTTTCTAGAGTCTCAACATCTTTTTTATAATGTGGTGAACAAAACTGGATGCAGTACTCTAAGTGTGGCCTTACTAAGGCTTTATAGAGTGGGATTAGTACCTCCCTTGATCTTGATTGTATCCCTCTGTTAATACAATTTAGGATTGCATTAGCTTTTTTGGCTGCTGCTGCACACTGCTGGCTCATGTTGTTGTTTGTTGTTATTTGTTGTTGTTTGTTTGTTATTTGTTGTTTTGTTGTTGTTGTCAAGTCACACAGTCAGCCAGATGTTTAGACTGCCTTTGGCATTTTTGTCTATCAAGTCCAAGAATTTAGGGCAGTGTTTTTGGGGAACTTTAAATTGTGCAGACTTCAACTCCCGGAATTATCCAGCCACCATGCTGAGTTGAGAATCCTGGGAGTTGAAGTCTACGCATTTTAAAGGACTGTAAGGTAGCTGGGAAGTTCTGGGAGTTGAAGTCCATTGAGAAACACTGCTCTATGGCCTCTAGTTCATGTACTTCAGGGGTACTGCATAAAATGAAGAGCCACCACAGGACTGAGGGATATTGGGCTGTCTTCTCCCAACGTGCAGGACAGGCCACAACCTGCGATCTTCCCAAAGCAGCCAGGTAGGTAAAAGAGGCATGAGCTGCCCTGCGGTGGCAAGGGAGCCTCCATGTGCAGGAGCAGCGTAACCCTACAGGGCATTCCAGACAAGGGAAGGAATTGCATCCCACCTTGCGCACTTCCAAGCACCGTCCCAGGGAAAAAGCATTGCACCCAGATTCCATCTGTTGCAACCCGTAATCTTGCAAAGCAGCAGAATGGAGCGCAATTGCACGCATTTCATGCGCGCCTGCACCAATGCAAGCGTGCAAAGAGCCCCGCCCAGCAAGGTTGCAAAGGGGTCTCGCGCGGAAAGCGCCTCCCAGCCCCGTTTCTTCCCCACAATTCCCCAGCACGTACCTGCCACCAGCTTCCCCCTGAGGGCGGCCATCTTTATACCTGGCACTGCCAGGCTCTGCTTCTTTGCCTTTTAGGCGCGGTGAAGCCAAAAGAGAACTGGCAACGGCGTCTCCGCGGGGCCAAAAGGAGGCGGAGGAGAAACAGCGGCTGCTCGCAAAGCAGGGGGAGAACCGCCGCTGGGTCCTAGCGCCTCCGTCTTTTAAGAGTTTCCCCCAAATAGCTACTATTTAACAACAACAACAACAACAACGAGGTGACAATGCAAGGCAGGAATGCTGTACTTAGGGACGGGGGGGGGGGCTCTTTCCGATCTGGAGGGGTATTCAAAATGCAGGGGGGGGGCGGGGGAGGTGTTTCTTGCAAAGCAGGGTTTTCTTTTCCCAAAAGCTGAATGCACACCTGTCCCGAAGGACCCGCCTTTGCAGGCTGTCTGTGCATGCCCACCCCGTGCAAACTCCCGCTCAGCCTTGCCATAAGGCTGGCCGTCCCACCTTGCAGGGCTGTTGGGAAGGTATAGGGGAGAGAAAGCAGCAAAGGGGCATAGGGAGGGAAAGAGGGGAAAGCAGCGCAATAAAAGCGTCCGGAGCCTTCTCCCCATTGCAAAAGGTTCGGGAGCTCCGCTTGTCTGCCCGGCCGGACAACTCGCCACCCTCGCAGAGCAGAGCCAACCCGGACCTTTTTTTTCCCCGGCGGAACCTTCCTCCGCGGAGGGCGCGTTGCCGGGCGGAGCCCTTTGGGGGACGGACGCGCCGAAGAGGCGCCCGAGAAGCATGGCGGAGCTCGCCGCGGCCCCGTCTCCACGGCAGCGGCTGGACACGTGCTTGGAGCTTCTGGGCGCCGCCGCGGGTCGCCCCGAGCAGTTCCTCAGGTAGGGCCGGGCTAAGAGGCGGGTTCGGGCGGGGAACGGCCTCCCCCGGAGCGTTGCACTACAATGCCCATCGCTCCCAGCCTGCCGAGCCTCTGGCTGCCAGGTGGGAATCCGTCAGGTGCAGCCCAGAGGGCGCCCGGTTGGGGACGGAGGGGCGCTTCTTACTGGGGATTTCCCCGGTCAGAGTCCCCGGTTGCTCCTGCTCCTTCCTGGGGTTGTTCGTCTCAACCCCGAGCCTTCTGGTTTTGTAGGAACTGGGAACCTTGTTTGCAACAACAACAAAACAACAACAGTAATAATATAGTGATTTACATTATTAAGCCCATCTCAACGACTGAACACAACACAACAAATAAATTACAGTACAATCAATGAAACATGAAATAATGATAATGGTTCCTGCTGTCCAACTCTCAATGGTTCTGAGCAGCTTACAACAATCAAAGAAATTATCAATAAAGTCAATTAAACTTCATAATAATGGTGACTTATTAAGCTTGTACGTCACCTGGCTATCAACTACCTTGAGTGGCTTACAACAAACTACAATAAAACAAAATAATGGTTTATTAAACTTGTTCGCTGTCCAATTTTCAATAGGTCTGTGACTCGCACAGCATCAAAGAAATTGCAGTAAAATGGATAAAACCTAATGATGATTAATTAAACTTGTACGCCACCTGATTCTCAATGACTTTGGGTGGCTCAGAACAAAAAAAAAAACTATAACAGCAATAAAATATCTAAAAAGTAAAGATAAAAGTTGGTATGTGCTGTGAAATGAGGACATGGAGGGTCAACCAGGCTTGGGGCGAATCTCATTTGGCAAGTGGCCTGTAACCTCTTTGCCTTCCAGTGTCCAGGACGGCCTTGCCGCTGACTTCGTCGCCCTGACCAAAGCGCTCTACGATTTTCATCATGCCCTCCGAGGAGAAGCCGTGGCTGGAAGCCCTTTGGAGCAGCTGGTGGTTGAGAACTTCGACGAGGAACAGATCTGGCAACAGCTGGAGCTGCAGAACCAGGCCGTCCTGGGGTCCTTGAAGAAAGCGGTCGCGAGAAACGTGGAGGATGAGGGAAAGGGGTTGCTTTCCCTTCTCCCAGACATTGAGGAGGAGGAGGAGGAGGAAGATGAGGTAGGAGATGGTGAGGAGGACATGGATGTGGAGGACCAAGCGGAGAAGGAACCCAGCAGGAGTCACAGTGAAGAAGAAGAAGGGCTTGACCAGAAGAGAAGCGATCCGGAAGCCTCCAAAAACGGTCCTTTCAGCGACGAGGATTCTGAGCTGGACTTCGATATCGATAAGTTAGAGCAGCAAACCCAAAAGTCTAAGAGCGTTAGGAAAAAGTGGGGGACGGACTCCCTGGTGGACGACAGGTTTTTCAAACTCTCCGAGATGGAGGCTGCGTTGGAGGCGGAGGAGAAAGAAGGAGAGAGAGAGAATGACAGCGATGGAATAGATTACTTCGAAGAGATTCTCTCTGAAGATGATGATGAGGAGGAGGAGGAGGAGTTCGGAGCATTGAAGAAGAAGGTAAGCGCTCGGGAGAAAACATTTGTGTTTTCATAAGGTAAATGTAGTCTGCTCTGAAAGGTGATATTATTTTGAGGCAGACATACTTGGAAAGAATCGGATTTCAAAACCATTCTCCAGATCAACTTAGAATAGCTGACTGGGGAATTCTGGGAAATGAAGTCCACAGGCATTGCTGCAAATAGAATAGTTATCAAATTTGTACAATTATTTTTAAAATTCTGCTTTGCTTACATGCATCCTTTGAAACAAAGGGGGGGACTCTTCCTGGGAAATCCCACAGCGAAAGTCTGCAAATATATCCCACATATTTGGAGAAGAACAATTCTTGTACTTATTCTTATTCCAGTGTGTTAAATATTCACTGTCCACCAACTTCGCTTTTCTTCTTCCTCAGGCAATTAAAAGTGCTCGCGAGCTTAAATATCAAGATTACTTTGATCCTGTGGATGAGAGCAGCAATCCCCTGGATGAAAAGGAAGATGACCAAAATAGCCAGAGCGGAGAAGGGGGAGAAGAGGAAGAGGAAGGAGGCAGTGCGGAGAGCGCTTCCGAGTATGTGGCTGATCTCTAAAGGCACAGTTCTATTTTAATAAGGAGTTACAAAATCTTTAAATGCATCTATAATGCAAACTTTGTAGATACTTCATTAATAACAAATATATTCAGTAAGAGCCAGCTGGTTGTGGTGGTTCAGTTGCTGGCCTAGAAACTAGGAGACTGTGAGTTCTAGTCCTGCCTTAGCCATGAAAGCTGGCTAGGTGACTTTGAGCCGATCACCAGGAATCTGTGAGTTCTAGTCCCACTATCATAGACATGAAAATCAATGGGTGATTTGGGGCCAATCACTCTGTCTCACTCGAACACACCTCACGGGATTGTTGTGGGGAAAATAGGAAGAGGAAGGCCTATTAATTACGTTCACTGCCTTGAGTTATTAAAAAAGTAATAAAGGCAGGATAAAAATGCAATAAATAAAAATATGTGGCTAATGAATGTTTTTTTTTATCCTATTGCTGGACAGGAGCGCTGAGGACATGGGTGAAATGAGACAGACCGAATGTGGAAAAAGCAAAGACCCTTCAAAAAGAGTGACTTTCTCCTTGCCCTTCGACAGCGACGTAGAAGAGGACACCGTCTTGTTCCAGGAAAAATCTAGCAAGCCGCCCGAAATGAAATCATCCTTTGAGAAAAGACAGGAAAAGGTGAACTTGGCGCTAGGCCCAAATCCATTCACGCCGTTGTTCTGAAAGGCTCTTGATAAATACAAAATCTTCAGGCTAGGAAGAAAAGAAAGGAAGCGAGGCAGGGACAAGAAATGGGTTTTAAAACCTTTGTGCCTTGGGAATGAGAGGTTGCTGGTTTTCTTCTTACAGATGAGCGAAAAAATAAAATCCCTGGAAGAGGAGCTGCTGAAGGAGAAGCCATGGCAACTGAAGGGCGAAATTGTGGGGCAGAAGAGACCAGAGAACAGCCTCCTGGAGGAAATGCTGCTGTTTGACCACGCAGTCCGAATGGGTAACCTTTGCATAGAGCACAGAGATGCTTTATCTTAAAAGCTCCGGGGAAGAAATGCTCCTTAGCATTTATGAATCGGTTTATTTGATTTTTGTACCGATAATAACACAAGGGTGGCGAACGTTTCCAACCCACCTTCCTCCTCTTCCTTTCCTCACAGCAACAGCCCTGTGAGGTGTTTTGGGCTGAGAGAGAGTGGCTGGTCCAAAGTCACCCACCTGGCTTTCGTGTCTAAGGCTGAACTAGAACTCACTGTCTCCTGGTGATTGGCCCAAAGTCGCCCGCTTTCATGCCTCAGGGAGGACTAGAACTCACAATTGCCCTTGTTTCTAGACCAGCACCTGAACCAAATTGGCTCTTGTAAGCTAGGAAAGCTGGTTTGTACATGGCCAAGATAGTTCCATCATCTGGAACTATCGGTAAGGATACTGTTAAATCTCACTGGGTTTGGGTTTTTTTTATGTGTGTGTTCTCAGCTCCGATGGTCACAGAAGAAACAACTCTTGAGCTGGAAGAGATTATCAAGAGAAGGATAAAAGATCAGGTGAATAATTTTAAAAAAAAATCTTTCTCATTTACGCTGTTTGAGAGAGGAATCTCCCATTTAGCTACCCTAGCTGCTCTTCAGGTGGTCTGGATTGCGGGTATCCTTGAAGGCTGTGGAGAAGATAGTTTTCCTCTTTTGTAAGAATCCTTAAGATCCTGTTGCTGTGGAATTTTTCCAAGGAAGCAGTTTGGTGCTTCAGGATTAAAAAGTTGCCAAGTTTTCATTATTCTGGCGTGGCTTAAAAAAAAAAAAAACTCTCTTTACATTGTACAGATTTGTGTTCTTAACTCCTGCAATTTTGTCAGCTAATTTTTATGGCTTAACTACCGAGAATGAATTGCATCAAGGTGAGATGTTCATTGCTACCTGCAGCAGGCATTGCTCCAGAGTGTCTTTTTAAAAACACAACACATATACATACACACTGCTGAAATCTCATGTTAATATTTTTATGTTCTAGGCTTGGGACGATGTTGTCCGTAAAGAAAAACCGAAAGAAGATCCGTTCGAGTATAAGAAGCGTTTGACTCTGGATCAGGAGAAAAGCAAATTGAGCCTGGCTGAAATTTATGAGCAGGAATATTTGAAACTGAACCAGGTGTGTAACTCTCTCTTACTGAAATTTAGGATGCACCTCTGCCAAAGCGGTTTGGTTATTTCCACTTGAAGACTTGGGAATTGGCAGTTGTGTGAATAAGTAAAAAGAAGAAAAAGAATTGCAATTCAGTTGCTAATTCTTAAGTGGACTTCACTGGTTTGCTTTTGCTCATTGATTCTTCTTGAATTATGTGTTAGGATTGGACAAAGTTACAATATGATGGTTAGAAATTAAGTTTGGGTTTTTAAGAAAAAAAACAACCCCCAAATAGCCTACATTTTTGAGAAATGAAATATTTCAACAGCGCTTAAGTGTAACTTGGTTGATGCAGATTAAAAAGTTTCTCAGACTCCGTTTTATACCCACATATTTAACTTCTTGGCATTCCGCTGTAAAATACTACAAATCATCATTTTATAAAAGAAACCAAACTTTATATTTTAGATGAGATTAAAAAAAATAAGATACCTTCTATCCGGCCATTTTTTTTTTTAAAGAATTCTGCTCCTTAATCCCACGTTGTGTTAATGCAGAAAAAAACGGAAGAGGAAGAAAAACCGGAGCATATCGAAATACAGAAAATGATGGACTCTCTCTTTGTCAAACTGGATGCCCTGTCCAACTTCCACTTCATGCCGAAACCAGTAAGTACACACCGTAGACTTGGGAGCAAGCTTTGAGTAGAAAGGTTGAGAATACTGTCTCCTCTCCTTAGCAGACTTTTTAAGTCCATATTTATGTTTCTCAGCTTTGACAACTTTAAGATGGGGGGGACTTCAACTCCCAGAATTCCCCACCAGCATGTGGAAGTTGAAGTCTCCCCATCTTAAAATCATCAAGGCTGAGAAACATCGTTCTGTATGTTTTTAATGTCTCTGTAGGATGGTAAGTAGAGATGAAATGCGGCTTTTAGGCATCTTACCACCCAATTCCACTTCGTTTATTTTTGAGACTACAATTGTTGCATGATGTTGACCTGTATATACATCATGCATCTTTTGGGGTTTTGTTTCTTTCCTGTAGCCTGTGCCAGAAGTTAAAATCGTCTCCAATCTCCCAGCAATAACCATGGAAGAGGTCGCTCCGGTGCACGTTAGCAATGCTGCCCTTCTGGCACCTGAGGAAATCAAGGTAGGTGGCATTAAGGTTTCCTGTTCTCCATCACTTGGCTGGTCCCATCCTTGGGAATCTGGTTCCATGCCAGGTTGAAGTCAGAGGGAGCTCATGCAGTTGATTTGACCCCACGCACCCGATGTGATGAGCCAAAGGGGCGTGGCACAAAGGCAACACAGTCACACAAGTAAGAAGAGTCCCTTTGGTACCTCCAGCTTTGCCTCCAATGTCCAGGTTACTTTCGGCTGGAGGAAAAAACTCTCCCAAGAACAGCCTTTAAGTGGAGGAAATTCAGTCCGAAAATGAAGTACATACAAACTGTAACTAAAAATCCACACAAACCACGCTGCAGTAATTAACTTGACAGGCAGGAGAAGAAGGAATTCCAGATTTGAAAGGTTAGCAAAACGCACACAGTTAGGAAGACGCCAGGAACCCAGATAAGCCTCAACAATACCAGATCATTCACGATTTGTTCTCAACAGTTTGCTGTGCGCAACCTCCCTTTTTACACACTCTGTTCCCAGCTGTAGCTGATGAAGGGAATCAGGGCCCTTTCCTCCCCGTAAGCCATGCAACTCCCGTTGCTCCCTTCTCCATTCCTCCCTGTGTGCCCTAGGATGAAGCGGGGGTGGGCCTGGGTCTTCCTCTGAATTCCCTCTGCCTCGTTCTACCTCTCCCCTGTTCTGCCCAGCCAGACTTTGCCCTTCTCCAGTTTCCTCCACAGGCAACAGAGCCACACTCCCACTCAAGACACCCATCGCTGCTTTTCTTAACACGGGTGCCTCCTTCGCCTAAAGTGAAATGATGTCATTTCAGTGGGTCCGGAGGCTGGGGGGATAATTCCAGCAAACACCTCCAAAGACTTGTTGGGTTGTGGACACGTTAGTGGCAGGCCTGGGTTGGGTGTCACGGAGGTTTCTGAGTTGCCTGCTAAGATCCGTGGGATCAATATTCTTTGTTTTTTGTCCCCGTCGTCGTCCCCCCCACCCTAAAAAAAATGCCTCACTTGCTTGTATTTTAGGAGAAGAACAAAGGGGGCGATGTGAAAACCGATGCTGAGAAGACGCCCACCGATAAGAAACGGGATCGCAGGAAGAAGAAGCTGATGAAACGTGTGAAGCTGAAGGAGAAGGAGAGGCGGCAGAAGCTTCTGGAAAAGAAATCGGAACCCGGCGCCAAGCTCAGCAAAAAAGCCTCTGAGGCCCAGTTGAAAAAGCTGACCCAGGAACGAGGCACCTCGTTGCTTAAGGTAATACTTGATGACGGGGGGCCGGAGACCCCTCAGACCCCAAGGCTCCTCCTCCTCTTTTTGCAAAATTGTCATAAAATGCAGTCACGCGATCCCAGACACACACACACACAGCTTTCACCATCCGTCCCCATTAGCATGTGTGTGTCAACTAAAAAGATACTCCGTTGGTCTTTTTAGTTGCCAGCAGAAAGGGAGGAGGGGAAAGCAGTGCATTCCTTAAATGCCTCAGATAATCGCCTTGGCAGCCGAAGCTGTTGGCGCACAAGATTATTACTGGAGAGCATGATTGATGACTCTTGGCTATGGATGTGTCCCATTGGAGAATATACATCCAGGGGGTGGGTGGGGGGAAGACCAGGGTCAAGGGGGAAATGAATGATGGGTCTTAGAGTCGGCTGCACCCAGGTAACGCCGACATGGCCACTCCTAATAAATAAATCTTTTTTTTTTACTCTGAGAGATGCGGCTGGAGACTTACGATCTGAATGGGGGTGGATTTGTTGGAGCAGTGACAGTGCGAAGCACAAATGTGTAGATCTCACCCAAGTCCTGGAGGAGGAGAAAGGGGGGAGGCTGGGCTGCCAGGAAGGCTGGGCTGTTTAACACAAGGGCTGCCAATGCTCTTTGATCACGGTCGGGATACAAACACGGCTTTTTCTCCTGAAATCTTTTGTTTGGCTCGGCCAGCTATTTTTCCGCTCTGATTTGAAAGGGTGCCGTTTTACTGAAAGGATAAATGTGCTTCCACTCGGCGCGTTTCAGTTCTGCACAATAAACCGCTTTCTCCTTTGCAGGATGACGGCCGAGACAAAGCTTTGAAGTCCTCCAAGGCTTTCTTTTCTCAGCTACAAGATCAAGTGAAAATGCAAATGAAAGAGGCGAGGAAAAGCCAGAAGAGACCAAAGAAGCAGGATCTCTCTGCCCAGAAGCTAAAGCTGTGATAAATTATGCATCCCCTGCTTTGGTATAAATTAAAATACCAAAAGGGGTGGGTTTTTAAAAAAAAAAAATTCTTAATTTAATATTGTGCTTTGAATTAAACTGTTGATAATCCCCTTTTCTCTTGAAATCGCTGCTGCATGCAGGAAGTGTCCATCCAGTACGGTCACATATTAAACTCCCATATTGCCTTTCTTTGACCATAGCCTGGGGTCACTGCTGGCTACTTGTGATTCCAAGCATTTTTCAGTCAAAGGAATGGAAGAATTGGGGGTGACGAGGTCCTGGGCACGGCTCTGTTGATTCTCAGCAGTAACATGGAAGTGATTCATTTTTATTTTCATTTATTTCTCAGTCTTGCCTTTGATCTCTCTCTCTCCCTTAATCCGCCGATAGCAACCCTGTGGGTTTTTCCAACGGCATCCCAGTTCCTTTTTCCTGCCTTCTGTTGTGAATCACTCGTAAAAATGCCAGGTGACCAGTAATGACTGGAGACACACACTTCGAAGCGAATCTTGGAAGCGGTTCAGGTGGTTTTTTTTAAGCTTGAACAAAAAATAATATTAAATTGGTGCCTAAATTCTTTTGTCAGTTCAGGGGTTGCAATGGAAGGCTTAAGATCTTCATCTATCCTCCATGCTTCTGGTTGCATTTGTTTGGAAGCTATAAAATACCTTCTGGGATTTGATATATTTGTTCCTTAGCCAAGAGGAAGAATAAGAAAATGGTATGGGGTTTTCTACTTGGGTAAGGGGTTGGATTAGGGTCCCTTCCAATTCTTATTCCGTGTTTCATAAAAGTTTATTGTTTTTTTCAAGAGCTTGAATTCCTCCAAATTCCCAGGACAATGGCTAGGTACTATATTTCAAAGCACAGCCTGGTGCCAGTATATTAAAAACAATCCTTTTGTAGAGATGTAATTGTTAAAGATGAAACTTGTCTGGTTAAAGCAACTCCCGTTTTCTCATCTTAACAGCATTAAAAGCAAGCAAGTTAGTTCAGGAATCTTGATCACCATTCAAGCTGCTTGTTCAGTTTGGAAAATTACCTTTCGGGCTTATCATTTGCTACAATTATCCCTTTTTAAGCGGAAAAGAAGTTTTACGCCTATAATGCCTTCTAGCAGAATGGAGGAAGACAGTCTTATCAAAAGGTGCCATTTAAGCACCTGAAACGAACGCTGTTGGTTTAGTAAGGCATTAAATAATTTTTTTAAAAAACTTTCTCTGGCTGCATAATTGTATGTTACTTGCATTTTGAGCTGTGGGGAGGAAATGTGTCGAAGGCAATTAAAGTCAGGCCGAATCTGGCTTTGAATTGGTTTCCAATTTTGGGCTAAAAGCAAGCAGCAGCCTTTAGAGCGTAATGGGGAGGAAACCTAAGGCTGCCGTATTTAAAAACGGAAAAGCCGGTCTTAATTGATGGAGTGTAAAGATAGTGTCAGCTAATGGAAGAAGCAGGGGGATAAAAAAATATCAGGGAAGTGGTGGGATTTTCTTGCGCGGGGAAGGTTTACGTGCTGCCAGCGGAGCCATCGAATGCTCCCCAAAATGGGTGTGTAAGGACACACATCTGCATTTGTTCCAAAATCCTGCTTCCGGACCTGGAATTCAGCAAAGAGTTTGAAGTCAAAATTGCCTCTAGATTCTGTCCTAAATAAATAAAATAAAATAAAAAACAACAACGACGAATCTACCCTTCCTGGGAATTGTAGGGAAGGTTGATACTGGGCAAAATGGAGAGATGAAGGAGGTGGTTTGGGTGGGGGTATCCTTGCAGGAGGAGTGGGGAAGGGGCTTTGGCTGCCAGCCAGTCTGACTTGGGGACATTGTTCCCTTTTCAAAGGTATGAGAGCTCAAAAGGCTTCTTCAGACAGTTAACCCGCGGAACTCACTGCCACAGGATACGGTAACTGTCTGGTTTAGGAACCACAGTAAGGTTTTTTTTAAACTTGACCACTTCTAAGATGAGTGGACATCAACGTCCCAACATCCCCCAATCTTCATCATCATAGAAGTTGTCCACCCATCTAAAAGCATGCTGGCTAGGGGATGCTGGGAGTTTGAAGCCCACCCATCTTGCAAAGTTCCCAATTCGACAAACATCCGATCTGGAGAGCTTTGCAGGTAAAGACATTGCAAAATAAGCATGCAAGGATTGAGTAGTGGATGCACCCAGGGTAAAAACTGGTTGCATTTCAGGCCTGGATGGGGTGGGTGGGGGGAAGGAGCTACTTTTGCTGAAATTGGAAGGTTTGGGCTCTCTAAATTTGAAGAAAACAGGCTCAACGCAATTTGCTGCTGTGATTTCTGGCTGCCGATCGACCGCTCCAGCATCGACCTTGCATGCCTGGATCCGGGATGGATTGCAACGGCCTGGCGGCGAAATGGAACGTTGCGCAGGCAAAGAGGCTTCCCCGGCACGAGGGAAGTTTCCGCGCATGCGCAGCCCGTAAGCAACTGCAATTGTGTTTAAATGAATTTTTTGCTTAGCCCAGCCCGGGTCTCGTTTTTAATCGCATTCCTTTGCCCTCCCCTGCATTGCTACCTCGCGCTGCTTTTTCACCCGGGACGCCTTTTTCCACCAATGCAATTTTTATTATTTTTGCGCAATGCAATAAGGGATCCCAGGATGGAATAGTAGGTACTGCGGGGTAGTCGCAAGGAAAGTCTTTAAATGCTGAACTTGGCACAATTCTGTCTCTGCGGCTTATAGTTTTGCTTCGCTTCGCCTTTGCCTCTCTGGCGAGCTTTGGGGTTCCAGCTGGAGGCTCAGAGTAATGGACAATCCCATTTTTCATATTTAGTGTAAAATGAAAGGTTGGGAAATGACAGGAGCAGCTGAAATCTGAGCCGTGCAAAAGGCATTGCTTTTAGAAGTGGCTGTCTTGTCAAGAAAGGGGAAAAGACAGAAAGACAAATATATAAATGTAAATAAATAGAATATATACAGATATAAATGTAGAGACAAATAGAGACAAATATGTAAAGAGATAAAAGATAGAGACAAATATGTAAAGCTAGCTGGATGATAATAGTAAGATATAGGTTACAGATAGATGAGAGGTGATAAATATGAAGATAGATATATATGATTGATAAATAGATAGATGGATGGATGGATGATAGTGTAGACAGGTAGATAGATAGATAGATAGATAGATAGATAGATAGATAGATAGATAGATAGATAGATAGATAGATAGATAGATAGATAGATAGATAGATAAAGAAATGTGTAGGAATGGAATATAGCTAAACTCTGCCCAGAGTTTGAGAGTTGGGAGGCGTTCAGGTTTATTATGGTTGTTAGTATACACATAATTTACAATTAGATTCACAAAGAATATTGAAATAATTATTTGTGGAATCCGCAGGGACTAAAACTCTTGAATGCAAAACCTCTCCCAGTGCTGTCACTCTTAATTATACAGGCTGCTGAAGTCTTGTTAAATCAACTAACCTGGACAATTTCAAGTTCACTTTCTCCATGAAATTGAACTTGAAAGCAGATCTAGAAGAAAATGAGATTTAACACACCACTTCCCTCCTAAAAAACTTTTTTAATCCGGATCCTGTCACCACTTCAGTGACACATGAAGGATTCTATGAAGCTCAATTCATGAAATTCTTTGGCCCTTTTTGAAATGCTAACTCTCTGCTTCTCACAAAAGGGAAATGCAGACATCATGCATTGTTATTTTTTTTCTGCACAACATTAACGTGGCTTCTGCTCTTTTCCCTCCCTTCAGACAAGAGAGAAGATAATGTATAGCAAGTGAGATCGGAGGGAATTTATGTTGTCGTGAAACAAGGCTGTGTTTAAAAGGCAGCCCTTCCGTTTTCACCATGCTTTAGGGTCGTGCAATGGCAGAAGATGGGCCTCCGGATAAGAAAAAACCCAGGAGAAACTCATCCCTCTGTCAGAGCAAGAAAAAAACTGCAAGAAAAAATGGCAAAGAGGAGCTTTCTCCAGCCCCAAACTCTTCTTCCATCGTTTCCCTTTTTAGCAACGCTCCTCCCGCCAGAGTTGCCTGCCCCTTGTGTGGCCAGATGATACCAAGGTACAGAATCAACCAGCATATCGATGAAGAATGCAAAAATAATCAGAACGAGGACAACATCAATGTGATTGGCTTAGTGTCGGCTGTCACCCCTGGGTCATCAGCCGAAACTGAGCCTGTGGGCTCAAGTCCCTATTTTGCAGCTAAGCTCTCGACTCCAGAAAAGAATTATAGCCTTTCCGGAGAAGACAGTCTGGAAACAAAAAGCGAGTCGGGAGAAAAGGCAAGTCCCTATTTTAAGAAAGCTGGAAAAGTAGTCCTGCTTGATGATCAACCTAGAGTTGGGGCCATTAAAAATATCTCCCTGGGAAGCTTGTCGACCAGATTGTCCAGGAGGTGGCGTGGTCGCAGCAGGGATGGGTTGACTCAAGATGGCCAACCTTCTCCAACTCAAGTTGGCACCACAGAGCAGAAACCCAACCAGAAACCTTGGGGTGAAGATTCCCTGAAGGAGAACCAGTTGTCCCCGTCTCAGTTTGGATGGACAACTGGAGCTCTGAATAAGGAGTGTGACATCTCAAGTTTGGGACAACAAGATGACTCAGGACCTCTCTCTCGTGGCCTGAATGATTCTGCTCTGGTATCACTCAGTTGCAGAGAACTTGGGCTGTCAAGAAAAGGCCATCAGCAGGTCAGTAACCCCCAGAAGAACCCAGATGTTTACCAGTTGGGGATATCTTCGTTAGCTGAGGAGGAAGGGGTGACAGCAACTTTCCCTAAAGAAGAGCCACCCAAGCTGGAATCCCAGAGTTTCTCCCCTAACAAGCCAGATCCAATGACAGAAGAAGACTATCATCATGAGATGCAACCGTTATCCAGTTCCACAGGAGAATCCTCTGTGGAAGATGAGGCCGGAACAGAAGTTGAGGATGAATTATGTTTGGCAACTATAGAAAAAGCCAGTTTTCTAAATTCAAGCGGGAACGTTAGGCCTGGCCTGGATTCACCTGGGCATCCCTATTACCTTCGAAATTTTCTCATGGTGCTGGAGGCCGTGCTGGAGAACGAAGATGACCGGAGACTGTTCAATGAGGAAGATTTAGAGGTCATCGCTCGGTTCTACAAGCTTTCAGGTAGCTTGAATTTATAATTGGCTTAATGACCAGGGGATCCGCTCAATGCCTGCAGTCACAGGCTTCACAAACATAGCAAAAACAGAGGTAAAATCAAATTGGTTCATGGGGGTGACTTGATCCATGACTAAAATTCTGGCTTCAGTTGTCATAAGTCAAGGATTACCTAAAGGGTGGATTTATGATTCTACATTTAGCCTGTAAGCCGTTGCGTTTGTCCAGAAAGCCTCACTTATCATTCAATTGCTTGACACATTGGAAATGTTGGGTCGGCCGCTCTTCCTGGCAAAGATTCCCTGGCAAAAATCCGGTTGTTTCCCCAGAACTTCCACTTTTTTCAGACCTCTTTGTAAAAAACATACTTTCTTCCTTCTCGTATTACAATTCCATTGCAGGCAGCGGACAGAAACTTTACGTTCGGCTTTTCCAACGTAAACTGGCCTGGATAAAGACGAATAAAATAGAATATGCCGAGATCAGCTCGGATCTTTCGCCCGTCATCCAAGAGCTTGTTGAAGCAGGATTCCTGCAGTCTGGTAGGTCCGCTGATAAGGCGGGTGCAAAACCCTTTGGGTCCACTAATTTAGAGGTGTTCTTGTTGGCCCAAGAGAGTTCGAGGCTTCTAAAGCAATGACCCCCCCCAGTTCTTTGGGGAGGGGGCTGAGAACGGCATTTAATAAAAACCTCCAGTGATTTCTGGTGGCAAGTTGATCCACTGGTTAATTGCCTTTACTGTTAGAAGTTTCTCCACGGTTTTTGTCCCCAAGGATTGACATTTTTCCTCCTCTTCGCAGAAGCCGAACTGCAAAACCTGTCAGAAGTCCTTGACTTACTTTCCGCTCCCGAGTTGAAAACTTTAGCGAAAGCATTTCACTTGAAAAACCCAACTTCTCCCAAGCAGCAACTTCTGGAAGATTTCCTCCGGTTGGCGAGACAGCGCTCCGTCTTTGGCACGTGCCAAGCTGGGATTGGCAGTGTCATTCTGAAGAGGTAAAACCTTCAGGGCCCTCGTAAAAGACAGAGCAGAAGTCTGCCTCAGAACAGAGACAGGAACAGAATGACAGAGTTGGAAGGGAACCTTGGAGGTCTTCTAGTCCAACCCCTTGCTTAGGCAGGAACCCCTACGCCACTTCTGACAAATGGTTATCTAACCTCTTTTTAAAAATTCCCAGTGTTGGAGTAATTCCCAACTTCTGGAGGCATGCAGTTCCGCTGGTTAATTGTTGTCACTGTCAGAAAATTTCTCTTTAGTTCTAGGTCGCTTCTCTCCTTGATGAGTTTCCATCCATGTAGGAATAATCTGATTCCACCAATGGAGCAGGGAGTTAATTTTGTATTCATTAAAGATGCAGAATCGTATCATCTTGATATGTTATTAGGATTTTCCCCCCAGGCTTTTAACTCTGTTGATAGGACAGATTTATAAGGCGCAAAGACAAGATGGTGAGTTGCTTTTTTTTTTAATTGGAATTGCTGAGGCTTCTGTGAATGGCAGCCCACATTTTTCCTCCGGGGAAGGCACAATTTTTCCCCTCCCTCCTTAACCTAGTTTTTTTTTTTCAGCAGGCGGTTGCTTCCCAGTCCTGCTTCTTTTGATAAGGCACATTTGAACGCCGTGCTAATTCTGAGCGGTGGGATTTATCTTGATGGATGTGTGGATAATTGGGAGGCAGATCTTGACGCTTCAGCTGCCAGGCTGTCTTGTGGAAAAGGAAGGAGGCGGAAGCCAAGTGACGGGGCTCAGATGAAAGGAGGAATTTTAAGGAGGGATTTTGGAGAGAGGGCTGTTTTTTTAAAAAAAAAGAGGAAGGAAGGAAGCTTGGAGGATCAAAGGGGAGAATGGGAAAAGAGAAATGTCATTCTAGAACAGGGGTCTTCAACCTTGGCAACTTTTAAGCCTGGGTGGGGAATTCTGGGAGTTGAAGTCCTCCAGCCTTAAAGTCACCAAGGCTGAAGACGCCTGCTCTAGAGGAAAGCTGTTCTCAACCATTCCAGAGGAACTTTGGGAGAGAATTTTGGTTAGGTCCCTGATTTGAACCTTTCCTATTATTATTATTATTATTATTATTATTATTATTATTATTATTATTATTA